TTGTGTGGAGTTGGAGCGGCACTATTCGGAGTTGGAGTTAGAGTTGGAGTGGGGATTTAGAAAAATGGAGTAGAGTTGGTCGGAGTTGGAGTTGCACATAGCCGGAGTTGCCCATCTCTGCTACTACTACATATATATATATATAATTCCATTAAATTCTAAAATTATTTACTTTACTGTTTTTGTTTACTAGATAATTGACTACCTTTTATTCCACATAATGTCTCATAATCCTAAAACATAAACAAATCACATGAGAATAAAAAATAGATTTTGACAAGTTCAGTTCTAATTTGGATCTGTTGAAAACATTCTTTTATCTGAACTAATCTGTCTGAAAAATATTTCCTATATTTTTGAGAAAGGTACCTCAGGGTATAAAAAAAACATTTTTCTGCTTTTAGGAACGGAACTTCCTGCTATAAAAGAATTTTGTTCTGTTTTAGTAATGGCACTTCAAGATATAAAAAGTCATTGTTCTGTTAGGGAAATGCTGTTCCCGAAAGAGGACAATTTTTTTTGAATAGGTCAGTTCCAGGAACTGAACTGTTTGAACAGATCTTGATATAATCTGTTTGAATAGTTTTTTCATTCATTTCATCTGAATGTTGAACTGATTAATCTCGAATAGAAATAAAATGAAGTAAACCTTCGGTAATAAAATCATTAACTTATGAATACTAGTCATTCGAGCAGCAGCTGCAATATCATTTTGTGTCACTTCTTGAATAATATCACGATATGAAAGATGAAAAAGAACTGGTTATTGAAAATGAACATCACGGTATTCAATATTATTCGTAACTTGTTTCTAAATAACAGAAAAATAGAACGGTTTACTTTAATTTGAATAAGGTGATAAATAAATTATTGTATTAAAATAATGCCTGATTCATCATTAGGATCGATTTTTGATTGTCGTTCGTGAAGCTTCATTAATCTTAATGCTGCTATTTTGAGATTTTGACTAATCAATAATTAATGGTAATGAACGATCGATAGTTAAGATAGTCAATGCCAGAACAAAAAAACACTCTGTTATGAAAGATTTGTTTACATAGAAAAAAGAATACATCAATTAAAGACTGCTTCATCTTACATCTGTTCATATTGTATTTCATCTCCTTCGATGAGTTTAATGCCATATCCAAAGAATGTACAATGACGAAAGTATAAAGTTGATTGCGATATTGTAGCACTAATAGCTAATAGATGTAGATTACACATTTGTGGTCTAAATATATAAAAGTGATTGATAGACGAAGATAGTTGAAGAATAATGATGAAGTGTAATACTTAAATTCTTGATTGAATGCATGTTCATACAGATTGATAAAATGATTTTCTTGACCAAGAGCGACAACAATACGAATATGTTCAATGGCTTGTGTCGTATACTATAAGAAACTGCTTGTAAATCACATGATCAGTTAAGCGGAGGGATGGAGTCCAGAAAATATCATCTTTGATCATCTATGGAAGAAGAGGAGATACACCGACCGACTATGTGATTAGAAAATATTCCAGTGATAAGCGCGAATAAAGTTTGCACTCTTTGTTCTTTTACTTCAAAGTTTTCGTCTATTTAAAGGTACTTTCCATATTTTTGGCCAGATCTGGTTCTCGAAAAGGGTACGACCGATCCTCAAAAATTTCTTAATATAAATAGAACATCTAAAATAAGGAAATACGTGTTTGAGGAAAAATTTTTGAGACAAGGTTTTCGCGATTTTTTTTCTTGAAATTTTGGTTTTCCATAGGAACACATTGGTTCTACTTACGATCGCCGTCTAACTTTGTTCGATCGAACTAAAGATTATTTTGAAGAATATCTTAGTTTGAGCAAAGTAGGGCAAATTGATTTCTTTGATTTCTATCACTGAAAATCTGTTTCTATCAGTTCATCACGAATCAATAAAAATCATTGAAAACGCGTAACAATGAAAGAAAATTACGAGAAATAAGAAATCAAAATAAACCAGGGTGAATATTAGAAACTATGGAAAATCAAGAAAACCAATAAAATTCATTAGCAATGAAGGTTTTACCTTTAATCTTATTACATGAGATTTTCTATGATTTACAATAGTTTCCATTATATTTCCAATGGGTTCCGATGAGTTTTAACCATTTCCAGTCATCATTTTTATCCTTAATATGTTATAACGATTTCTTATGATTTTCAGTATAGAAATCAGTTTCCTTCCTCCATGAGGTGCGGATATTAGTTTGGTATAGGCAAACTCTCCAACAAAATCCACACCCTTTGAAATTTCTCGGCTAATTTGGTGCAACATGGTGAATTTCTTCCGGTATTGATGGACCCCAATGAATTCTTTGATTGTTTAGGTTCAATATAATCCATCACAATTATCTGTACATCCCTTGCTATTCTCTAAATAAAATTTTTTTTGAACATTATTTTGAAGTGAGAATGATAGGAAGTCCTTCTAACTATGATGTTTTATTCAAATTATCAACAGCTATGACGAAAGTGTTTGAAACTTTAAACAACATTGAAGTACACAGAACTTCGCATAATCTCTGATATTTTTCATTGCTTAAACTTTTATAAAAATATAAAGGTTTTTTCATGAAAAAGGACAACAAGAAATAATGTGACAAACTTTTGTATTGATGATACATATCAACGACGAAATCTGAATAAGTTGTAATATTTATCACACTTATCAAGTACTTAGCAACAGATAACATGGGTCAAATCTTTGTGACTCAACTCGCGCATTTTTTGACCAGACTCGAACTGATCTAAGCACAGTTAGACTTAACGTGAATCCGACTATGGCATCTAGAGTCCTATAGCATCAGACAAAACCTGTATTGTGCCTTGCAAAAAAAAAAGAATGAAATCAATGAGATGAGAATTTTATTCAATTCGGAACCCTAGACGACACTATTCATTTGTTGTTTTGATGCCATATTTCAAAGATTTAAATCAAAAACGATAACTAGTGTTCAGCACTTTATTTATTAGACTAATTTTCAAATTGAACAATCATTTGATAATAATATAAGTGATATTAAAAATAGATAGACAACAGCAAATTGTTTTTTTTCCCTACAATAAAAAATAATATGATTAACATAAATGTACTGACAAACAACATAAAACAACTAAAAATATATTGAAAATATATGAAAAATTCATTCTTCATGAATTATCGAAGGTCTCATATTTTTCATAATAGTTGTAGAATTAAGTGGAATTCGATAAGTATTCATTGATATAGATTGTATATTTCTACTATTACTTGTTGAATATGGTTGAATTTGATTGGTTCTCGTCAAAGTTGTTTTTCGACATAAAAATAACATTTTTGCTTCGTTTCTAAATGATCTTGATGAAACGAAAAAAGCACAAAATGGACATGCAAATGTTATATAACATGTAGTTGTAACAATATTTGTAATCAAAAGTTCAACAGCTCTTCGATTAGAAGATTTTGCCATTGTTACAGTCAATACTGTGTATTCTGTAACTATGACATATGGCAATGTTGAAAAAAGTATAATTGGAATTAGTATAAGCATCATTGATGTCAATTGTTTTTGAATTGATTGTCGTTGACGAACAATTTGTAATTTATTTATATTTCTATATGTCATTATACCAGTTATCATTAGAGTTGTACTCGGTAATAAACCATAATAAACAGGATATGCAAAATATATTAAATAATTAGTAAAAGCTTCATTTCGAATAAGTGTACAAGTCATTAAATCTGTAATTGGACTTCGTAATAATTCAGTGTATATTAAATAAGGAACAAAATGAAGCAACCAAAAAATACATATTAGAATAACTGCCCATTTTGCTAATGATAATCGACTCAATTTTCTATATTTTTCTTGACGACAACTAACAAAAAATCGATCAATACTTGCTAAACAAATACATGTTAATGAAATAAGAAAACTTGCAGGAGTTAGTGCAGCACGAGTTTTACACCAAAAACGATTTGTTGTTGACCAATCAAGTTGAAAACCAATAATTAATATTCTTATAAATAAACCATAAAATAAAACAATACAATTAATGAATGATACAAACAAAAATATAAATGCACATGGATTATGCCGAGCACGCCAAAAAAGACGAATATTAATTAAATTTCCTATCATACCACAAATAAATATGAATAGACCAAAATAAATTGTTATTGAACTTATTAAAACTGTTATCGAGAACATTTTTCGTCTCTTTTAAAATCTATAAAAGAAAATATACATTTTGTCGCATTCTGTGTTTTTATTTTATTGAAAACATGACCTAAATTGTTATCATAATAGATACATTTTTAACAAGAGATGAACGAGTCAGTATTTGTTCGACAAAAGTCAAGTCAAGTTTGACTGAATTTGCAAACCTATATTTTTATTTTTCTCCCGTGTCTTTTTTTCTCGGATAAAAATAAAATAAAACTATTACTCATGAGTGAATTTTCATATCATTATCTAGCTTATGTCTTCTAACACATTACTTTCTTCATTAGTATTCAATGAAATACTCTTTGCAGGTTCATAAATGGAACTTTTCTATTTTCATCATTGTCAAGATGATATTCCTTGGTGTCTATAATTTTTAAAGAATATTATTAAAGAAACGAGTATATTATTATTAGTAAATTGTAGTATTTAGACATGTCACAATATCAAAACTATTAGATATTGGCTAATGTTGCTATTAATTAAAATTAATACGAAGTACGATTCAATACTAATAGCATCCAGTATCAAATAGTATGAATAATATGACATGTCGAGAAATATTGTTTCTCTACAATTGATCTACTCTATAAAACAAAATGTGTACTGATCATAATTAATTCAAGTTGTTGTTTAGAAATAATTTTATCAATAACTGAATGAAATATGAAGTATACTTTCTTTAAAAGTTGATCTATATTTTGTTAGAAAATCGCATTTTATTTGAGAGCTATTCATTGCAGTACATTAAGAGACATTTGTTTTTGAAAACACAGAAAGGCAAAAGATATTTTTTAAAAACTATCATCATGACAGTGGTACTTTTTTTTGAGACTTTGCAAACCTGCATACATTTGTAATAGATTCAAGTATCTACAATGATATAGCTCAGATATTCGTCTACATGTGTATTAATAAAAGTTTAAGGATTAATACTAATTCTCGTAATCGTAGCAAAGCTAGTAGATCTTATTGAATTGTCATTAAAGACAAGAAAAACGTGTTTTCAAATGATACTATATGATTTTGAATATTACACTTGAACCTATGAGTTTCAAGACTGTATCATTTAACCAGGTTTGTAGTCTAGAGGCATCGGATTATTCATGATTTATTGTAAAAGATGTTACAGAAACTTAGAAAGTTTCTACATTATATTCATCTACTTTTGCATTTCTATATGAGTCAATCTAAACTATTTGTCTGGGTAATTAGATCAAAACAGAATAGTCGTTTAAAGATTGTTAGAATAGTCTAGATTACAGTTGTCAGCATTTTCTCAGAGATTTACTAATTATTACCAATGCCAATGAAACGTCACACTACTCCACATCTCCATTGAAGGCATTCCAGACTAGTCAGCTCGCTTTTTTTTTCCAGGTAGTTTCAATGACATATCTAATAAACAAGCACCATTATTCTACTTAAACTTTTTAATTATTTGACTGCAAAGTTTTTTGAAGGAAAAATTAAAATTTCTTTTGTGTTGTATACTTGATCATAAATTAAGCTATATTTCTAGTTTATGAAAATTTATTATAAATAATCTTGTTTAGGAATTTTTCCAAATGTCGTTTAGTTCAAAATAAAGTACAAAACACAAATCAACATGACATTGAAATACTCATATCTTATCTTCGTTCTTTTTTTTTTGTTGGACCTATTGTTATATTACTATGGATATGGCATCTTGGCCTTTATCCTTTTTCAGATATGATTTCAGCTGAATAACCTTCAATAAGTGATGGGAAGTGTCGTGGAGTGAGTCTCAATGGATTTTATAAAGAGGATCTTCCTTTTTATTTTTAATTCTTTTGACTTCCTGTAGGAGTCAGTTATATTATATTTACTATATGTTACTTGATTATCAGAATAAAAGAATTTATAACCCATATTACGCACAAAAATTACCTAATAAATTCTATCACGAAAATTGATGTCATATACAAATCGATGAATTTCAATATATAAGAAAATACTGTGACCCATATATGGGTCATACACAGTCATAGAGTTAAACTAACACCTATCTATCGTTCAATCATAGTTTGACATCAGAAGGTCGGTCGGATCAAATGTTCAAATCCATTATTTCTCTCACTTTTCTGTTCTGTTCATTACTCTGAACCGAATGAATAGACAAAATGGGCTAGATATGATGGATGTACTTAGGGTATACCAAAAGTTCTGATCACAGTTTTTAAAATTTAATAAAGCAATAAATATTGAATATTTTACTAAGGCAATATATAGTATAACGTCTCGTCTTTAATAATATATAGAG